ACACCACTCAAAACAACATGTAGGTATTTTCTGGGGCCATTGAAAATGACTTAGCTTACATCTACATGTGCACCTTAAATCTACCTGTTCACGTATCATGCCTCATTCCAGAAGTTGTAAGAATCAAACAGATCAGTGATCCCTTCTGTATCTGTCAATGTGAATAAATATTCCTCTTCTGTAAGATTTGGTGATAAAGGAATCAAGGCATCGCTGTCCAAATCTTCCAGACCAGTTGTTTCATCATTTGTCTGTAAAAGAATATTTTTCCTTGGACTGATTATGGTGGACAAAATGCTTCTTTGAAGATCCTCGTTAGATCTCTGTGAGGGTACTGCCAAATCATCACAGTTTTGAGGAGTTTTCTCAGGTGTCAGAAGAAAATGGCTTGGTGTTGTTTGAGGCGCTGGCTGTCGTTTGATGGGAGAAATGTCCTTCATTGGAGATTGGGCATTTACTTGTTCCTCAGGACATAGATAAACATCAATAGGGCCTCGAATACTTTTCAGCCAGATTTGGATACTCTGTCAGAAAAATAAGGAAAAAAAGTACAGTTAACACTGACTGATTTGCAGATAAGCTACATCCCAAACTTGGTGACACCAATTTTGGAAGAAAGGTTTTAAAGCAAAGAAATCAAAACAAATTGCAAGTGGGGTCTTTAGAAAGTCATTTGTATTCATTGCTTCATCAAACATAAACTTGAAATGAAATTTCAAAAATGGAGAAAATTTTGAATCCTTAAAGTAAAAGTACCCTGATACATTAGAGAGAAATTGGTATGATGTATTCTTGTGTGTAAAAATATGAACCATAATATACTGCACATTAATTCATTATGATAGAATTCCATTCATTTTCACAAGGTTTTTAAGGAAGAAATTAGATCTTTTGCTTACAATTGCATTTACGTGTAATTGGATGTACATTTATTCAGGTATGTTAGGTGCCTTTAGCACCTTGTAGCAAATTTTTCATCTCAAAACTTCAATCCCAAAAAAAGTTCTGTTAGGAGTTAAAAAATTAGCATCTCAGAATAACACAGCTGCTTATTTTCACTGCTTCCTGACCCTGGAAATGTCTTTGACTTTTTTACATTATGCAAAGATAGGAACTCAAGATGATAGACAAACATCTGCTTAACCATCAGTTTTTATCACAAATACAATACCATTGAAATACCATTGAAATAAACATTGACCATTCCACAATAAAGAATAAAATTGGCTTGCTTATACTTTCTAATTACACAAAGGCATGTGAGAGTAGACGCATATGCCTGCCTGTTGAGACTGGTATCTGTCTTGTCTTTTGTATGTGTGTCTAACATGCTTATTTCGATCCCTTGAAAATTTTGAGCTACACTATATGTGTCACTTTGGCTTACATAACACCAAATTTCTAGTTCACAACATTGGTAAAAAATACAGTTTACATGCACTGCAGCACACTTATAAAATAATGTAATGTAGAGGGAAAAAAAATCCTGTTGTTACCTCCTTAGGATCTGGTACTTCTAGCCTCGTTTCTGGTGGAGCTTTAATTGCAATCACTGTCCTGTTTTTGAAATGCTTGACATCACGAATATCTCGATAAGTCACGTACGCATATGTAGTTAAAATGAAGGACAATAATATCTGCTCTGATTCTGATTTATCTAATCCCTTTAAACCTAACATGACAATGTAAATTCTCCATACTGTTCTCTACACATTTTGTCTGGCATCGACAAGGAGAATTTTTTTAAAAATTAAGACCCTCTTGAGTTCATGGTTATTTTCTTTACTCTCATGACCTTAAGGCTTGATTCAAGGGTAGTAATATTGGGAGAAATTACATGCTTATCACTCTGAGGAGTTATGTGGTTAATTAAGCTGTTTGAGATAATGACCTATTGTTTTGTTCGAAAGCTGTCATGTCTATCTTTACTGGTAATATTTTTCCTTAGTATGATAGCAACCTGTGCCAAATGGCAGTATTAAATAATAATGGAAATGAAAGGAACAACAGTTGGAAGCCCTGTGTACTTCTTTAACAGTAAACTCGTCATAAATTCATACTGGAAAGGATATTTGGCAACTTCAGGATCTTCTGTAAGATTTTTTATTTCTGAGCGGCATCCCTCTATCATTCTATCAAGGAAAGATTCTTTAGCAACAAGGTCAGCAATGTCTGTGTGAAGATCCATGGTTTGCGCTGAAATTGATTCAGCTCCCTTTGTCCTCCGAGAACTATCAGTATAGCAGGTGCCCCTATGATAACAATACAAATAGGTTCAAAGACTATTGAATAAAACAACAGCAAAAGTCATGCTCTATCCATATTCTCTATACTGTTCTCTATACATTTCTTGAGAAGCTGACATGGAGAATTTGTGAAACAATCAGGAGCTTGTTCAGTTGGTGATCATTTCCTCTACTCCTATAACCTCAATGGGTGATTCAGGGGTGATATTGTAAGGAGAAATTAGATGCTGGTCACTCTCAGGGGTCAAAAGGTTAAGTTGGAAGAATTTTAAAAAGCCTGGTCAGTACCAAAATTATCTTGCACATTAGGAAAATATTAAGTTACCCAATAGTCCATTTGGGTTTGTATCATCTGCCATAGATTCTATTGCATGTACCTTCACCCAAACAGAATAAAAGAAAATCTAACTAGCTGGCATTGGAAACTCAAAAGTAATAAGCAAGCTGCCATGCTCTGGGAAAAGAAAAATGCAAATGACTGAGTGATGATTTTGCTTAATCTGATTGGTTGACATGGAGGTGTAAATTTCCCACATGGCCATGAAGGGCAAAACCAATTCAGAGCTGAATAACTCTTGCTGATCATTGGAAAATCTCTCCTACCTCCACTCAATATTATTCTTGGATTTCTTCTTTATCAGCCCAACACCTTCTAGAACATTGGTAATGTCATAGATTCGTCTTTTCTGGACCTCTAAAACATCTGCTGCCTGGTTCAAATCCACCACACCATCTTCAGTGCTTTTCAAAAGACCCACAAACTTTTTGGTCAAGATCCCCAGTGATGTATCATAGCGTGTCTTCTCTATTGGAGATTTAACAAACACTGCAGAAGAAGAGAAAAACGTGATAAATATTTGTTTATCATTGGCAGTTATAAATCTTGGTGTGATGTCTCATCGTTGATATTCCAACCAATTTAAAATCTCCTTTTCTTAGACAGTGATATTTAGGGCTACACTGAGAACGATCTTTCAAATAAAAGGACTATGTTGAACTATATCTTAATTTCCATAGTTATGCCCGAGTGCAAATCTTCATTTATTTCTGACACTGCATAAAGATGTGTTCTTGCTTTTACCAATCCTCACAGGTGAAGCATTTCCTTCGATTTACTGTAAACGCCCCTTAATGATTACGGATTATGGCTCCTGACTTTTTTTCTTTGAAATGAACTCAAATTATTCAGAAACCATAAAACGCAAGCGATGTGGAAAATCTTTTGACTGCGAACAATAAACTTCTTAGAAGGCTTCATTTGCATAGTTAAACCTTTGTTCGAGCGCTTAACAACATATTCAGGGATATAGAAATCAAAGTTTTAAAAATTTTACCATGCTAATCTAGAACATTTTGCTCACTCAAGGAGACTGTGCCATTGACAATTCGCATTTACCGAAAATAAATTATACTCAGTTCTACAAGGAAGACGCTTACGAACAATCCCGGAAACACACACGTGTACAAATCCCTTTGTTCAGAATGATAATTTTGCAGATTTCTCTTTTTTCATTAAACTGTAGGAAATACTTTGTAAACACGAAGAAAAATCCTTACTCTTTGGGTATGGTTGCATTTCTCTGCGCCCTCTTCTTCTAGTGTATCCTTTTGCTTTTGGAGTTCTGAATGACTGTCTTACTTGTGTAGGAGATTCATCCAGATCGAGTTTTCTTTTCACCTAATATTAAACAACCTCAAATCAGTACTGAATTTCTCAGATAAAACTGTGATTAGTATAGTAGAAGTCTTGAAAACGACCTCGGAAATCTACATACCTGAGGCCTTGAACTTGGGCAGACTGATCGTTCCTTCGAATAGACATCGGGTGTACATAAAACCGGCTTCGATCCTTTGAATGCGGGCGATGGTGGAGCTTTTGCTTTCATTTGATGCGAGGAAGTAGTACCACTGTTCAGAATTTTCCTACTGATCGAGTTTAACTGATGACTATGAGCGCTTAACGGCGGTCTTCCACGACCTTCAATCGAGTATCTTCGCGTCGCCATCTTGTTCAACAATGGAGTGGGTTCTTCGACAGCGTTTCTGTTCAAAAACTACTCCACAACTTCCTGCAGAGCCTTTACAATGGAAGAAATAGCGGCTGTAAAATACTCAAATAAGCTTCTTTCAGAAGTTTAGAGCTTATTTTGTTCCAAATAGCTTCAAATCTGCTAGATAAGCTGTACGATTGCTATTCAATTGATCCTTCGAGATGAATAATGAAAATAAAAAGCGCGCGCTTTCAAGTTTCGCGCCGGGAAGTGATCACGTGGTATGGCTTCTAGTCTCAGACCTCGCTGGGTCAAAACCACGCGAACATTTTACATTCTTCTTCATTGCAATGGCAGTTTACATTCAGTTCTCGCGTTTGTAGACAAAAACGCAAGTTTGGGAGAACCTAAAAGCAGATTACAGCCTTCTAACTGCTCAGATATTATTCACTATTGAATGAATTTGCATAAATATAATTTTCTGTAATAATAATGATATCACAACACAAACGCTTTTCTTTGTCATGGTCTGTTGAATCCGCCTTAGCGAATTTTAAAAATTAAGCAGATGCAGTTAAAGTGCAGGTGAACTTTTAATGGATCTTTGGCTCTTCTCTAACTTCCTTTCCCTATGCCTATTTTGGAAAATATTAACAGTCCTAACTAAATAGTTCCTAGGTAGCATTTTCGTTTTTCGAGCTGTTTTAAAGTAAACTTACAGATAGGGCAAATTCATTCGTTATACGATTAAAAGGAAATTTGCTTAGGGTACAATGTATTTAAATCGTATACTAATTATTTTCCCTTTAATCCCCTCTAGGCAAATTAGACACGTAGTTCTGCTGGATGAAAGCGCTAAAACTGAGTTATTTTCTAGAAATTGAGAGCGGAAATTATCCAGTCGACTCACGCTGTTCTTTCGCACTTTTCCAATTTTTCCTTTTGCGCCAACGTAACACGTAGTTATACCTCCCTGGGACGCCTTCGAGCAGTTATTGTTTGGAAGATAGTTGAATAGACATAAACTCGATTGCACCTTAATAAAGGTCGATAAGAAGAAAAAAATGGACGCGGATTCAAATCTCGACTTTATTGAGTCATTTATTTGCAGTCAAATTCCTAAAATGATCAGATTTCATTTTAAATATTGTTGTCTGCCAGCCAAGATGGCGGTTAATGCATCCTTTCTTTAAACGATCAAGTCTTGAATCTGTGTTTTTATTTACAAAAGGAAAGCTTCTAACATGCATCAGCTATTATTAACTATTGAATAAAGCTATTTTAGTTAAGTTCATCACGATTAAGTCGTGAGGAAAAACAAACATAGATGTACATCTATTTACATATAAATGAAGACATCTTGCCAAGTACCTGTACAACACTGCGACAAAAAATAAAGGAAAATAAATAAACAAATAAGAAAAAAAAAAAAACGTTCGCAAATAAGTTATTTTAAACTGACAGGGTTCTATGGAAGAGTCATTTGTTTGAATTTTAAAATGCTCAAGCTGAGTGATCAAAGGCACATATGCAGTTACCTTTCCTTTGTTTCAGTAAGCGCTAAGCTACGACCTATTATGTAACCCATATGGTATACATTGGTATACACTGACAGTAATGTTTTGAGGGAATAAGTTTTTGGCGCCAAAAGCTGTCAGCTGAGATTTAAGCATAATTATTTCTTGCGCTCTATTTGCTTATGCACAGCCAACGGGCCTTAGAGAATTCTGTTGTTTGTGCACAGTTGAGCTGATACCATTCAAAATGATTGCTCGCATTCTATTGAAAGTGGATATCGACCTTACAATTTTACACCAACTTGAGCCTCTTAATCGCCAAGCCAATTAGAACCGTGCTGTAGAAGAAGTCGAAGCATTGATGGTTTATTTATGCCGATATTTTAGTAATGGGCGTGTTCCACAAAGCACTTTTTGTGCAAAAGGGCGTTTTATTCAGTCGGTAATTTTAAAAGAAGTTTTCAAGGCATGCTTCGGTGGTTTCTTTGTTTTTGGGATCTAAATATGCCTCGATAAGCAGTATAGTAAACACCTCCTCGAATTAATCAGCAACTGGGTCAACCAAACGCGAACAGAAAGAAAACCTAAAAGGCAGCCATCGAAAATGATCGCGCGAATACTCAACCACGCGCGCAGTATTATTTCGGCCCTGCTTGCAGCTCGCTAACTGACGAGGCTCTGTAAACATTAAAATAGGTCCTGTGTTGCTTGAGTATGTCTTTTCCACCGCCTCTCAGTCTTCTTTCCTTGGGCTCAGACCTAGAGATCTCATAGAGCTTGAAAGATGAGTAAAGTAAATAGACTTCCCACTTAAATCGGTGCAGCCTTGGAACATAGGTCCGCTTTTTGCTATGAATCCAGATACTCACTCAACCTTCTTTCTGTGAATTGGTCAGAACGCCTGTGCAAGAAAAAGGAGAGAATATTCCCACGACGATTAAAGAAAACACTCTACAAAGAATCAATAACAATGAATGGAAGGTTCAAGTATTGAGTCAGCAAGTACTTGTCCTAGGCAAAGGGGCATTGGGTTTTCCGGTTTTGGTGTTCGTTGTGGTTTGCGTTTTTCCCGTGTTTGAGCATTTGGTTTTCGGTTCTCATCAAAACTACTACAGTGGATCCTCTACTTAACGAAGTGCCAAGAGACTGGGAAAATTGGTTCGTTATATCGAGGAAAAACAACCTAGATGTTCGTTATATCGAGGTATGGTTAATAATTGCCCTTTTTTTTGTGGTGTGACGTTTCGCTACTTAACATTCTATGATCGGAACGATTACTGTAGATAACATCAATCTGAAATTATTTTTCAAAATTTCTTTTAAAAAAACTAAACTAGTTAGCGGCACTTTGCTAACAGTACTTGTAAAAATGTTTTATTCTCTGCCGTCGAAGCACGTTCCGTCTACCTATCGTAGACTTCTTCAGGTAGTTTACAAGTTAACACTACACGCCTGTATTTATAAGCCACACTTAGCGGTTATTGAGGAGGCTATTACGGAGGCCAATGACCCCATATAGGCTTGGCTGAACTTACGAACAAGAACAGGGGAAGTGGTGAAAAATCTTGAAAATTTTTTTACGCAAGGTGAGAAAAATATTTGAAGGCCACGGTTTTACTTTAAGGTTAACTTTTAAAACTCCCTGAAAAAGTGGACGACAGTTAGAAGAAACGCATGGAAGAATAAACTATTCGCACAGTGCTGCTCACTAATTTAGTTTTTAATATATCAAAAATAGCCTATTAAGACATGAAAGTTTGGAGATTCTATTGAAGTATTGCATCAATTAGTCACGAGTAACCGGTAACTTGTCCGATTGAAGCTACCCAGTGCAATTTGGTACTTTTCGTGCACTCAGTTACTGGCGCATGATGCACGTTGGAAGCCATAATTTGCAAACTGATCGACCTAAGGGCTCCACATTGCAAGGTCAAAGTCTCGGGCGTCATCCGAGACGCGTGGTCCCTTACGGATCCCTACGATTTTTCACCTAAGAGAAGTTACTTTGGTGACATTTGATTTGTCATGCATTCCTCCCGGCCAAAGTTACAGTTAAATGTATGGGACAGAACTACGATATAACGAAATCCTCGTTATAACGAACACAATCCAGAAGCCCAAACGGATAACATACCCCGATATCTCGAACAAATATCAACATACATTATATCATATAGAAGTCCTCAAGCAAACCACATCCACGGCGGCAAGAAGGACATGGAAAAACAAGACCTCTAATGGGCAGAACAATAGCTTAGCGTATGCGCCTTTTTTAAAAAAAAGTTTTTACATGTACATTGCTAGCCATCCTCTGCAAAACACAACGTAAAATCACCAAACTTTGCATGGTCTGGGAACGGAAACCCCAAGAACAAATTAGGTAAGTGTCCATTTGGAACTCAACGCTGCACACATTCGTTATTTTATAGTCAAGGTGTGGCGTACGAAACGGTTAACACACCCAGTCATTCAATAACTTTTAACAAAAACTATTGATTCAATCGACGTCTTCCCCGGCGTTACCGTCCTGACTTAAAAGCGGAGATATTACGTGTATACTGTTTCTAGTATAGACCCCTTCAAACAATCGGCTACAATTGTGTTGTATCTCAAAGCAACAACACCCTCACCTTTGTGACTTCAGCGTTGCATTGATGTGGAGAAGGCTTTCTTCCAGAGAACCGAAAGATACATCAACTTTCGGGAGGTTCACCCCCTCAACGAACTTTGGCGACTTCTAAATGGATCGAAAAGAAACAATCACAAAGCAGTTAGTTTTGAGTAAGACTTTACGAGACGTAAATTATTTGATATATTATTCGTTCAAAACACTGTAAATAGGTATAAAATTTGGAGAGTTTTTATTTGAAATATGGAAAGTCATTGTTTGGGTAAAGTTTTTTTTTTTTATTTTTCAATTAAAGTTTTAGCAAAAACACTGATGTGATATAAACATATAAATTGTTATGGAATACGATTACGGGATCTGTTGGACTAATTTGAACTTATTATAATTCAATTGGATTGGTATTTTGTTTTTTAAGGTGTTTAAGTTTACTGAGTATATTCTCGTACACCGTTTTAGTAAGCAGGTGTTGTGTAAGTTGACTGTTGATATCAAACAAGTGGTTGAATGATTGCTCTTGTTTATTTTAGAGTGCAAATGTATAAGTATTATACCACAGGAAGTGCTTTGAATTCGGGATTCACTTTTAAAGTATATACGCGTGGGATAACTTATTTAATTGCTGTAATTTAGAGATTAGTTTCTGATTTGGTTTTTAGTGCAAACGGAAGTGACCCACATAACACATATGCAAAGATCGAGTTGTCTTCCCGTTATGCGGGGGTGCTTTCAATTTAGAAATTTAATAATTATTTCCAGTCTTCACCCTTCAGCCCTAGTCCTAATCTTTCGCTCTTTCTTCCTAGAATTTCTAGAAACACCATAGTGCAATGATCAAGCGTCGTTTAGCTACTCGTACTGAAACTATGCAAAACCAATGTTTTACAGCTAATATTACTTTTATTGTGGCTGTCGTTGACAACTCGTAAGATGTTACTCCGAAAGTGACCGGAATACGGTCAATCTCTCGTGGGCGGACACCCTTGGGAATTGAAAAACGGTGTCCATTAGTAGACCTGTCCGCCTACGTATTCCAATAAGCGGACACTAAAGAAAATTAAGGCGAATGTCCGCTTACGAGAGTTAATTAGCGGATGTTAATTACTTGTGGGTAGCCAAACAATATGAACTGAAACTGTGCGTTGATGTCAAATGTTAAAATCGTAAGAAAATCAAAGTGCTCTGTGAGCAAACTCGTGAATTGACACAT